AATTTTTTGTATTTTTAGTAGAGACGGGGTTTCACCATGTTGACCAGGATGGTCTCAATCTCTTGACCTCGTGATCCACCCGCCTCAGCCTCCCAAAGTGCTGGGATTACACGCTTGAGCCACCGCACCCGGCACATAGTTTCATCTCTCTTCTAGGAGAGCACCCTTCCTTCCAACCCCAGACACACACACACACACACACACACACACACACACACACACCCTCCTCTCCACTCACATGCACCCCAGCCAAGAGCTGAGTGAAAAGAAAGGTGAGAGAAAGAGAAATAAAAATGCCTGAAGCAGCAGCCAGGAGAGAAGATGGCCAAGACATCAATCACCTTTGCACTGCTCACAACAGGCTCCCCTCTGCTTGATGGCCAGGGCGCAGTCTCGGGACAGCACGGGGCACTTCTCTCTCTTACATGTCACTTCCTTGTTCTAGGTAAAAAGAGACAGGAGACATTTGAAATAAACATCAAACAGAATTCCCCAAATCCTAACACATGGCAGAGGTTTTCCCAGCCCGCCTCTTATGTTGCCTTTACTTGGCAAGAAAACACTGTGAGAGCGAATAGGATTTTGCTGTCCCTGAAACAGAAATTCCCACCCAGGAACGCAGGACTTTGGAGATCAGAGTCGGATGTGAGGAGATGAAAAGTCCCTTCTTTAAAAAGCCAGCTTCACCTAGATAACCAATTACCGAGGGAGAAGTTGTCTCCTGCTCTGTTATAAGGTTTCTTTTTAGTACACACTACAGAAACGATAATATTTATGTAAACCATATTTTGCCTGTTTGGCTACCTGAGCCAGGACTGCATCGTGAGAACAAAAATATTTTCACATGGCTGTCCAACAATCCTTAATAGTAGAGTGCATTAAAATGCAGCAATCTAAAGTTCCAACTCAAATAATGACAAAATTGAGTATTGAATCGGCTCGGTAAAAGAAAAAATAATATTCTACATTCCAAGCAGAGACACGGTCGTCAGTGTTTTACGGCTGTGGGACAGCTGCGTTATATTAGCACTTACGCTAATGAAAGTATGGTGAACATTTGCATCTTTGGCTTTTTCCTGAAAGGTTAGCTGTTAAAATGTCTTAGAGAACATACAAACGTCACCGTATATGTCTGCTTGTATGTGGATTGTATGCACCTGAACCAAAAATACTGTCTCAAAAATTCAACAAAATGTGAGCTCTACCAAGTGGTGACCACATGCTAGGTGCTTTCATTCTCACTCAAATTCTGTGAGGTCAGTATCATTATCCCCATTTCACAAACAAGAAAACTGTTGCTCAGAGAAGGTAGCTGACTTTTCCAAGATTACCCAGATTTCCAGTGGGAGAGATGGAATTCAAGATGAAGACATAAGTGCATGCGCACCTATGCCCTTCCCTGGATGACAGCAAGCACTACCAGTGCCTGACTTGGAGGCAGGTTGGAGAGGAGCAACTGGCCAGCTCTGCTCACCTTGAATATGTATTAATAAAAAAGAAATCCAGACTCGGCCCTGACAACAAATTTGAGGCACTCCTCAAGTATAACCAGTATGCTTCAATGTCATGAAACTGAGGAAGATCTCACCATTTTTTCCTCAGAACCAAGGAGATACATGTAAGCCTGCAGGGATGTGTGTGTGTGTGTGTGTGTGTGTGTGTGTGTGTGTGTGTGTGTGTGTGTGTTGGAGTCTGGGAGCCCAAACCAAGCTCAAGCACCACGGTCCAACCCTAAGGTAGTTTCAAAATAAAACTTGTCACCTTCTATGCCGCCCTGAAATTCCCTGCGAGTTCCGGAGCTCCCCAAGACGCTTCCAGGGTCTAATTCTAAAATAAATCTAGGTTGCCATCGCCTCTCCTCTCAAAGATCAGAACATCTGCGGGTCCCAGAACCCCACTCCCTCTGACGCATAGTCACAACTGCCCGAGAGTGAGTTCTATGGGGAAGGTCGGGCCTGGCCTTGCCTACAGCTGTTTCCACATCAGTCCTGTTATTTTCCTACCCTACGGCTTTTGCAAGGCCAACTGAGGCACAGAAACAATTAGCCATGACTAGTGTTGCTCAAACTTGTCCGCTGAATAGCACACATAGAAAACGACTCTCATTTCAGTTAAGGAACACTGGGATGAACATGGTGAATATTCCTGAACAGTCCCAGGACTTGTTCAACACCCAGAGAAAGGAGATCAATCCACAGTCACCTGCACCCCACACCTGCAGGGGTTGCTGCTGCTGTTTTGTTTTTTCTGGTTTTCCTTGTGATGGGAGGGTGACCTGAGTCACCTGTCATCCAGTCTCTCTCTCTCTCTCTCTCTCTCTCTTTCTTTTTTGGGGATCTGTATATGGTGCATGCCCTCAAGGGACTAACCTCATTTACTCCTAAAATCCTGTGAGATAGTAGCCTTCATCCTTAGCTGCAAATTAGTATCCCCTGTGGAGTTCTTAACAAACACTGGTGTGGTCTCCCAACCCCTGAAGGTCAGATCTGGTTCATCTAAGGACCAGGCATGGGTATTTGTTCAAGGTCCCAGATAATTCCAACAAACGTTGAGTTAGAAACTACTGCTGTTGGGAGAGTATTTCTGTGGCCACTGGGGCTGAGCTGGGATAAGGAGCTGTCCACAGTCCCTTTGTGAACAGCAGATCTACAATCTGAAGCCAAGCATGCTGGCCCCACGTCCCCCAGAACTCCTTCCCTCACCCAATCTTCTCCATGATGATAGTGGCATCAAGGCTAACTATAAGTCATGGTCCTTAGATTTATTTTTATAATTCTCTTCTTAAGCTACAAAAGTCATACATTGTTATGGCAACCATTCAAATTAAAGAGACATATTTTTTAAAAATTAATAATCTTCCCCACTCCCGCCAAAGTCATCAAGGACTTTTTTTTTTTTTTCTACTCAGACACGTATTTAATAGCTGTAGAAATCCCAAAGAATTAGCATCACATCTTGAAGTTGTGAGTGAAGCTGCGGATTGGCTTGACTGGGCTCAGCCACTGAGCTGCTTCAACGGCTAAGGAACAGGATATAACTATGCAGGCTTCTATGTTATCTTAATCTCATTGTATGTATTATGTATTTAGTTTCAATAAAGCATTTGTGCCAACGGCTCTGGAGCTTGAAGGAAGACCAAAGGAATGTGTAGTGATTCTGAGGACGATGTAGACCTACGCAGCAGAGTTATGGGGGAGAAGATTAACAAAGTCCTATCTTCCAGTACCAGGACGGTCATGAGTGGCAGTCCCATCCAAACAGGTCACTAGGGCTAGAAGGCGGGACCCTGCCCTCTCTGTCTCTGAACTATGATGGGTTCTTGCTCCCTCCGGAGTATATATGCTGTTTGGCACTGTTGACAGTAACTTCATTTTGAAAAGTGTAGTTCTTGCAAGCTATATTTTGATACTGACTCTCCCACCCCAGGAAAATTGTGAAAGGAACTTCATTAACAGAGCTTCTATTACCAGAACATTTTGGCTTTATGCATTCAGCAAACCTGGCTGCAGTCCTTAGCCAAGTGCCACTCCCAAGCACATCTCCTCTCTGAAAGGAAGAATCTTCAGATACAGAGAGTTCAAAGCTCTAGGGGCAGTCAAAGTGAAGACTTAATCTGGGATCTGATAAATGCGAAGGTATACACTCGTTTAAATATAGGAACTCTTTGCTGACTTAGAAACCTGGGAGCCAGTCAAAATCCATCACAGGATCCCAAGATTCATAATAAATAGCTTGTAATTACAGTCCAGCATAAAAGTTATTCCAACCAGATGGTTTGCTGATTCACATCTGGATTTTTTTTTTTTTTGGTACATACACAGAAAGCAAACCTAAACCTTAGCTGTAGGTTTAGTGGGTTTCTCCCCCTCTGATTATACTGGAAGTTTTAAAATATCTTATCAATGGTCGCATTGGTACAGAACTGCCATATCTGATCATTGCCCTGGTGTCTGATTGGCATGGATGTGGAGTATGTCTTTGGAATCCCAGACCTCCCAAGAAAAAAATTTAAAAGTTCAGGGAATTGCTGGTGAGAGCCTGGTTTCCTCCATTTCCTTAATTGAGTCCAGCAGCTACAGAGTAAATTCAAACACAGGTTAATTAAGAGTACTCCATTCGCTTTCCCAATTTTGCCAAGAGACAAAAACACTTGTCCTGGAGCCAGTGGCTCTGGTGAGAAGTGGCACACGCAAAGCCAGGCCTTCAGGACTCCCTCATCCCCGGGCTGCCTCATGCCCACATGCACTACGTGGCATTCACTGCCATGGCACAAGGTCGTGGCTCATTCCGTCCACGTCTTCATTCAAGAAACATTTTCTAATACTGGCTCACACTTACTGAACTCGTTCTATGTGTGTTCAGGCTCTGTGCTAAGAATCTTACGTGCATTTTTTACACCATAAATTCCTCATGATCGCCATCTTACAGAGAAAGGATAAAGGTTAGGAATCTTGCCCAGGGTCGCCCAAGAGACAGATCTGGAATACAAATAGAGATCTGCAGTTAAATGCACTTTGCTCCTTCCCAGGCTTTCAGAATACAGAAGAGAACAAAACAATGTTCCTGCCCTGAGGCCCCAGGGGAGATTGGTGCCTTCCTGGTGGCTCCAGACAGGAACTCTCTAACAAGAGCAGAGCGACTCCAGGAGCCTGTGTCATGACCAACCACGGGAAGGTCTGCAGACACCAGCTGTTTTCTGGTAACAAGGAAAGTCCTTCCAATTTGGATATCAACGGGGATGTGCCTATCATGCCTCCAAAACTCAGACTGGCATCTTCAAACAGTTTTCCCCAAATTCCAGCTTGGGTTTGAGTCTCCTCAGATCTAAACAAGAGAAATGGTGGTAAAAATGCACTCAAGGAAAAGGTCAGAACCTAACCAATGAATAAGAGCAATAAACCTCACTGCATCTTTCATCCTCAGCCTCCCATGTGTCCCTATTTCTAGGGTTGCCAGCGTTGCCAGTCAGTGGTCTACCTGTTGTCTAAGGTGTCTGCACTACTGCCTCCTTTCAGGAAGATCATTAACCGATTCTCTAACATTGATCAAATACATCAAAACCCAAAACATAGCCCCTAGAGGCACATTAAATGAAGTGCCAACATGAAAAACTAAAAGGGGGCATAGAGAGTAAAACATTTTTAAAAAATCAACATGACTGGCAACAAAGCTCTATAAGGATGTGAGCCAAACCACAGCTCCAGCCGCAAGCCAAGTTCAAGCAGGATTCCGGCAACCAGTTTGCTGTGCCTGAGATCTGCCACGCGATGGCAGCACAGAGTGCCCTGGTCTCCTGAATTGCAGCCCTGAGACCGCCAGCGCCTCGGGAGCATTTCCCAGTGTCTGGTGTGGAGGGAAATGAGCTCTCCCGTGAGCATAGCGCGAAGGGGTACCGAGAAGTTAGCAGAGCACCACTGTGAAACGTTCTTGTGTGCCTTCCT